TCATCATCATCATCATCATCATCATCATCATCATCATCATCATCATCCTCCCCCTCCTCCTCCTCCTCATCATCATCATCATCATCATAATCATCATCATCATGTTGGTTTTTGGAGCAGAATCTTGATTTATTGTGCTAGCCATCAACAGACTAGTCCACCCCAGGTGAGCTTGGTGAATATCTTGAGTACCAAGAATTTGTTGGATCTTGAGCACAAGGAGTCTGTCCTGGGCCTGGCTCAGGCACCGCAACTGGGTCAGTTCTCAGTCAGGTCGCTAGGACATGAATTTATCACCTGTCCCAGACAAAGGCCTCTACAAATAGACTGCATGCAGCATCCTTTTTGATTTTTGGGCATGCTTTTGATTTGTCAGCAAATAGCATGGCTACGACGATGTTGATCAAGATTCTATCATCATTGCCCATGAGTGTGTAAAGTTTGCGACCTGATCGAAAGGGTGGGTGCCAGGCCATACTGTCGCAGTCTTCGAGCGTCGGTGCCACAATTGAGCTGGTCTTTGGACATTTCGTGCAAACCAAAAACAGACAGATTCCGTGAAACCACTGAGCCCTGCCTCTCATCCCTTTTTCACTGCGTGTGGCGCCTATATATAGCTAGGCGCGCCGCCTTAGCTTCGAGAGGTCTACGCTTCCGAGACGTCACGGCAACTCAGATCCTCTGGCAGCTCCCTACAGGCCTTGGAGGCCACAAAGCAACTGCAACCGCCGCCCGCTCCGCTCGGTGGCTTCATAGGTCGCGACCCGGTCGCGCGGCGGCCGTCGGGCGGTCGATGGTCAAAAGGGAGCCAAGAAGTGCGCGAAGCGGGTTGGACCAACCAAAGGGGGGGAAACTTCTTCTTTTGTCTGACTGGTTGTAACAATGAGCTTTTTAGACCGCGGGTCTTGAGCTGTGGGGAACATGCGCCAAGAAGATCCAAGAACCTGTTTGGAACTGTTGTATGTCATTTACCTTGATTAGCAGATCGCTAATGATTGCTGTGGAATTAGGAAAATGTTCGTACAGTGCAATGCAGTAAGCATTCTTGGATATTCTTGGGTTTTACTGTAAAAGTGTGCAAGTTCAATGTCCCGCAGGTGGTTCATGACTTTGGTTGATTCTTGAGTTCTTCATGCCTTCTAAGGAAGTGCTCAAATGCAGCTCACAGAGGGTCAAGCGCTGGACTTGTCGGACTTTAGGACTTGAAGTCTTTGAATGATAGATTCTCAAAGCAACGGAGTTTTCAAGTTTGACGTGCATTTTGAAGCTTCCGGGTCATCGCTTCATCTTGCGCACCACCGAACACCCACCAGCCCTGCACTGGGCGAGGCGTTTCTGAAGGTGGACGCCCAGCACCTGGCGCTCAGCAGCTTGGTGATGGGGCGAAGGAGGACGTCGGACGTCGCCCACACGGCCAGCTGGTGCGTAGGAGGACCATGGCAGACCTCGGCGTTCTGACTCCTACTGGGTTCGGTGAAGAGAGATCAACCAGTCCAACTGATTGGTTGAAGAATAATGTAGACTCTTGATGAATAAACCCTCTCCATTTGAATTGAACAACCTCTTCATATGTGGGAGTCATGGGGAGTCTATATTACACATGCCTTTTTTTCTTGGACAGTCATTCTCTACAGGTCCGACCGGTCATCCCGTGCCGAGAGCTACGGTCAAGAGGATGGTTGTTCGGCGTTTTTCCATCGCGGCACCGTTTGTTGGCGGACATGTCCGCTGCTTTGGAGGTACCAAATGCCTTGCACGGGTACCAAATACCCGTGAGGTTGGAAGGGAGACTTTCTTTTCATATTCTTGTTGTCCATATCATTTTGGGCGCCTGGCGTTCACTCTGGCGTCCAGCTACAGGTGAAAAGCAAAGACCACACGTCCACAGGAGGTTGTCAAGATATTTCACCCAGACCCATGTCTTCGAAGGAGGCGCCACCATCTATGGTATGTTGGGTGGATTGCAAACCTTTGATAATAATTCGGGAACCTTGTCAGATCAGTTTCAATTCACATTGTTGGAAAAGGCTTGTGGGGGTGTGGATGTGTTTTTATTCCCTTTCAAGGAAAAAGGATCTGAGCATGGAACAACGACATGCGCATGCACGTGCGTGGCAAGCCCTTCTTCGCCGCACAGCACATGCGTACATGACCTGGTTCAGGGTGCCTTTCGTGATGAGTGACCGATGTCCAGGGTGTGAAACGCAAGCGCCGCCCGTTTTGTCAACCAGATTTGGTCAACCACCCATTGGAACACAAACACGCGTCGTAAGCACTCACTCATGTTTTGTTTGTCTGTTTTTAGTGTTCCTTGTCCCTTTCCTTTTCATGTTCCCTTTCCAGTTCGTTGTCATGTCCAGGTCTTTTTCACTTTGTTATTCCTTTGTTTTTGTCCATGTTGTTTTACTGTCTGTTCGATCCTTTTCATATCCTTTCATGTTCCTTGTTTCCTTGTCATATCCTTCTCAGTTTCTGTTCATTCCATTTCTACTCCCTTTCATGTTCTTCTTTCTGAAAAGCCAACAGCAACTCAGACTCACCTTTCATCTGGGATGTTGTATATATATATATAGCAATCCATTCAAATGGACCAACACAGCCGGTCACGGCCTACCTGGGGCAAGAAGTGTTTTTGGGGGAGATGAACTACCTGGCAGTCCCAAGTCTCCAATGTTGAAGTGCCAGGACTCCGGCGGAACAGTGTCAGGACTCGCCGCCCAATTGAACGGCAACAGAAAGAAAGCATGCATCTATACTGTGCATCATGAATCAGTTGGAGGCAACTCGTGCCAGCTCGCTCCCTTCCCTTCCCACCGTCAAAGCACCACTTCACTCTGGATGACCGGGGAAACGAGTCGTGTTCCGCCAGCGGAACACCGGAAACGGACCGTGGTTAATGGTGGTGAGTGTTCCGAACAAGCGATGTGGTTTGGAGATGTTTTTGGTCAAGTCCTGCGATGCGATGTGTTTTACCCGGTTCTTTTCACTCCAACGGCTTTCCTCGAAGTGCCGGTGATGGTGGCCTGGCCCAAGTCTGTGGTCCGAGTCCATGCACCCGGTCGAGTCGAGCGATCGAGTCGAGCGACCCCCTTTGGTCGAGTGAAGGTCCTATCCCCTAGTCCTCTGGTCTATTCTGGTGACTAAAGGTCCTCCTATCCCCAAGCTTCTTGATTCAGCTTTGTGACTTGACCATTGCCTCACCGTCCCGCACGTGGGTCAACCCTTCATGGCCTTCTCGTCCAAGGATCTTTTGATGGACTGGCACATCCGTTGATTTCCACCTATCAGGGCATCACAAGCCTTGGCTTAGCACCTCATGGGCGGGTAGAGCAGCTAGGCATACCTGCGGGGCAGCGGCTGCAAAAGAGACACTGGCATTTGCAAATCATTGTGAAATGTACCGAAGTGAGTACCAAAGTGAACAATATTTTCTGTTGTGTTTGTACAATGGCTTCAGCCACCAAGTGAGACATGGTGTGCCAGCAAGTTGTTGAAATCGTGAAATGGTTCCGTGAGTGCGTCATACAAGTTTCTTGTTCGCTGGATGTTCACATGCTTTCTCCTTTTCGCTGCAGAAACTCAGGCGAGTCTATCCAGCAGGTCCTTTTCATGCTTCTCAGATGGTAGACATGGGCTGCGGTCGGAGCGGTCCGCGGCCTGGCCGGTGGACTGGGTCCTTTCCATGTGGACTCTTGATGAATAACACCCCCCATTGGAATTGGACATCCTCTTCATACAGGCGGTTTATGAATCAAGAGTCTACATGACTGTACTCAATAAAATACCAGAGCTCAATCGGCTTGGAAGACTGGTTGATACTGAAACCGAATCGAAGACCTCACATTGTTTCACCTTGTTTCGGCGTGACGCTCAGGAGACTGTGGGGGGCCACATGTTTTGTTGTTTGGAAAGATCAGATGGTATCAGATATGCCGAGGCCAAAAGTCACACACGGAACATGCATCTATATCTAGCGCAAACGACACATTACAGGAGTTCTTGGTTAATTCTTTTGTCACCAAACAAACAACTGACCTGGGAAAAAAACAAGCAGCAATCAGGCATCCTGGGCTTCTTTTCACCACCCCTAAACATCTTACAAGTAACAGGGTGGTACACTCGGGCATTGGTTGCAAGGGTTCTATGATATGGATGACAAAATCTCTCGCATCACTTACTTCTTTGGGATGTATGGCCGTAAACCCATCAAGTACCAGAAAAGCACGACTTGGGTTCTCACATCCAGCTGCCCATCACTTGGGTTCGTCGGACTGCTTGACATTCAACAGCAGCTGCCCATGTCGCCCATGGTCCACGTGACGAGGTTCAGAATCTGTCGATTTTGCTCCATCCGGACTTGGCTGCACCAGCAATGAAAGCCATGCAGAGGGGAGCGTCTTGACGGGAAGTGGGGGAGCCTCAATACATGTCATACATATACCGTGTATAAGTATATATATCTTCAAATTGCCTGCTGTTGGGCGGCGGAGGAACAAAAACGCCCTGCCCCATGGGCTCAAGGGTTGCAAGGGGCTTGGACATCGTTTGGATGCCCCGTTTCTGTGGGTTTTTCACCTCATCACCGCGAAGTCGATGTCCGCCATGACTGGATCAGTTAGCTTAAATCCAGGGTAAACATGGTTGACTTTATAACTTAACTACTTTACTGCGGGGACAGATGATCGAGAATTCGGCTTGGTGAATGATTCTCAATGCCGTTTCCTGGTTTGGTCCTAAAAAGCTCGCACACGCAGTCCTTTTTCTCCAAGTTGAAGTTCATTTTTATAATGACATTTCCTTAGCATGTATGTCTCCATGTTTTGAGGACTTCGATGTTTTCAGCCCACTTCGATGTTGTGCAAGCGCCACTTGCTTGGCCTTTCTCAGGAGGTGCAGATGTCGACGTGGACGCCTGACGGTCATGATCGCGCCATCATGATTTGTCGCCCTATCTTCACCTCCTATGCGCCACCAGTCTTTCAGGATGGCTTGATGGTCGATGTCAACGACACCAGGTGGGGGGGTTGGCCCTTTGGGGCCTAGGGGAGTGGAGACTGTTCGCCCTATGGTGGAACAACACATTTATCATGTTTATTAATTGTATGCTTTATAACATAATAGTTCATATTAAACAGTATATAGTATTGTATATTGTATTAACATCATCATCCCACATTTGTCCACATGATGCAATTGGAAGTCACCAAGAGTCCATCAGCGGGAAGGCCATGCAACTGGCCACCAGTGCTTCTCACTTTACACATATTCCAAATGAGGTAAGCATGAACAGTGTCATTTGTGCTCGTCACTCTGAAGACCGGTGGCCAAGAAGACCAGTGCTGCTGACTTGACTACGCTTTGAGGCACTGCAGCAACACCTCCAGTGGTGTTCCGGCGTGCTTCTGGGGAGCTTTGGCGATTTTGTCAGGGTTGTTGGGCCAGTCAGCAGCAATCTTGAGTGACTAGTGGATGGTGAGTCTGCAAAAAGTCCAAGGCTGCCTCGATGTGTTTTGGTATCACGCTTAGAGCTTGGCTGATATGGTTCATTCAAAACGTATAAGTTTAGTATTGTTTAGTCTTTTGCCAAGAAGTGAGGCCGATTGCCGTATATAGTGCAGAAAAGAAACCGCATTTCTCTCCTATATAAAGAACCACACCTCTATATCCTGCATATTCCCCCAGGTCCGGCACGTCCTCCACCTTCTCGGATGTCCACATAGAACCCTCTGGCCACGCGGCTTGACCCTTCCGGAGCGCCAGAGCGCCAGAGTTGAGGTCACCCTCCAACTCACCGAAGTCGCATGACCCTTCACACTTCTGAAGCTAAGAAAACCCCGGGGTCAACAGAACAGGAACGCACGTTTTTCTGTTGCTTTCTCATATGCCATATATGCCACTTCTATGAGAGTAAGTCGGAGGGTATCAACCAACTGCAGGCGTTTTGCAGGCTGCCTGCAGGTCCGAGGCGTTGCCATTGCTACCAAGGATTTGCCATTATGATGTCTACCTTCGATGATCTTCTCAGGAGATCACTGACATTGTTGTACCATGAAGAAACTGTGCACAATAATGTCGCATCATACAATTGGGCAATCATGAAAAACATGTACTATCGACCGCAGCACAGTCGAAGCAGATTTGAGGACGTATCTCTTGTGTCGTCCGCAGATGTTTGTGGTCCAACAACTGTGAAGATCTTCAACTTCAGAACAGTTTTGGTTCCTCCAAGAAAGGCTACGACTTGCAGACTTGCACCGATTTCCATATTTGAGCTTTGTTGCAGACTAGGACCAACGAATCACTCCAACTCGGATGGACACTTGAGGACTGTCATCCCCCGCAAGCATCCCCCCCGTAATTCACCGCAGCAACCGTCCGGACCAAAAAGAACACGGCGACCGTTTCGAGGTGCCGTGCTCGGGGAGGACGCTCACTTTTTGAGCCACTCGGGGAGTCGAACTGGAGAACTGGAGACACGAGATCACCGCAGTTCTCCTCCCCAGAGACGATAGCCGCGGTACTGGTAGAAGATATGCCCTGTCCCATCTATCCCCCCCTGGAACAGCACACCCCTGGCCTGGTGGGATTTGATACCCATCCCATTTCGGCCGTGCTCATGTTTCAGGACGGTGGAGTTTTCCAACTTGGCGACCGGTGTGCATCGGGTAGCGGGGTACTCGAACTTCGACTATCACTTGTCTCCCGGATGGATGGGCAGATGTGAGGGGAGGAGCACTGCGAAGACCACTTGAGGCACCTTGTGCCACTTGAGGTGTTTGTTTTGTTGCATAAGAATGCTACACCTTGAACCGGAAGTTGTGACCATCCACATGGCACGCTGGTGGGTTGGAATGACCTCAGGGCCTTGTTGACCTGACCATGACTGTAACTGTTTTACATCCGACCTTCGAAGCAGAGAGGGTCGTCGATCTCTCGAACCGGTCCAACGCCCCAACGCTCGCGGACGATGAGGGGAAAAGAACACGAGTCTAACTAAGAGTGTTTCATGTCGGGGCAAGAAGAAACGACGCAACCAGACTTGGACCATGAGAACCCCACCGTGAATTCCAGAAGCTCCGCGTCGATCCACGAGAGACCCCGGGCCGTGCTCGTCCTCGAGTCCGTTGCACGAGGCGATGACGATCGAGCCAGAGGGGGGAGTGACCATATGTGACCGTTAAAGGTTATCCACACTGGATTGATCCTCGAAAAAATAAACAAAAAACAAACATCAAGTTGCATTGTCTTGAGTCTTGGCACATTTTCTTGGTCAATCTTGGTCAATCTTATGCCTGGCCTCCACTGTAGCCAGGCCGTTTCGAACCAACCCAAGACCACAAGAGCACTTTCGTTGGCGACCTGATGTAAATAGTTCGAATGGCATCGAATTGGTCAAAGGTTTAGATTTGCATCTGCTGCAGCTGTCAAAAGAGCTTGGAAGGTATGGTTTGCTCTTTGGTATGCACCGCCTGCACCGATGTTGCATTCCCAAAGCCACCGATGTTGGAGAAACAGCACAGCATAAGTAATTCTCATCTCCTTCAGCTCGTGCGAAAACCAAAGCGTACTGTATCCATGTATCCATCCCCGTTCACGCGATCTCTTCCCCTCTTCGCTTTCTTCTGCGCGATGAAGCTTCGATGCAGGTTGTAGAGGCTTCGGTCGAAGTGCCGGAGTTGGGGGTGCACTGGATCTTGGAGCTCTGCCCCGTGAACGGATGGCAGGCTGCAGATCGGGCGTGGGCGTATTTGTTTTTCGGTCCATGGCCGCGGACGCGGAGACCGCGGTAGTGGCCTTCTGCAGGTGGCCACTGTGCGGAGAGGGAGCGGGGAGGTCGGGATGGTTTTGGAACATGGACACAGAATCAAAGGGGTGCCAAAAACATCCAAAAACTAAGTGGACAGACCACAGTGACTATACAGTGACTACAGACATCTACAGACCAAACCAGACCAGGCCACACCACACCAGACAGACGAGATAATCATGTAACAATCAACAAAAATAGTCTATTTTTGTACATCACTCTTACTCGTAGGTTGGAGGCCATCGCTAGTATGTTGGAGGCCATCGCTTTTAGCTTCTTTACATGCCAAAAAAACGCTTCTTCGCTTCTCTTTTTCCGCCGTCTCGCCGGGCGTCAGATTGCTCGCACCAGCGAGTGGCTGAACCTCCTGCTGGTCCTGCCCATCACGGCAATGCTGAGCATCGGCTTGGGCATCAACGTGACTGGTCCATACGCACTGTGACTGGTCGAGGCTTTTCCAAGTCCAAGGTTTGAAGAGGTTGTTCTGAAGCACATTCTCATCCAAGGTAGAAGAAATGAATGGATGTGGGCTGACTTTCGTAGTCACATGTCAAAACCAAACGTGTTTCAGCCGTGCCATTTGGTCGTTGTGCTGACTTTCGTAGGTTGATCATACTTTGTGTCATTCCTTTGCACCATCATTTATGACATCAAGAAACAGCTAAGCGGCGCTTGACAGACCCTGGCAAACCCTTATATAATAGAACATCACCTTGCTGGTCCCGCACGTGGGTTTGGCCCTGCACGTTTCAACATCATCTTCAACCCAAAAGATCGCAACTCAGAGTTGCTTGGGATTAGGTTGTTGCATCGTTTTTCTTCGCACAGAAGGAGCTTGCCAGAAAACCCCGTTGATTCCGAAGGAGCATCATCAAACGAAAAAGGTCAGACGGATCCGTGTCGATTTCAAAGGGACGAAGGGCCGATCCTGCGGGGTGGCGGCAGATTTCTGGACGAAGCTGTCAATCTTTGGTTCGTTTTGCCCGCACAAAATCAGTCACAAAATCCGATGAACAACGTTTTCCATGTTTATTCGGAGGCTTATGCCAAACAGCGAAGGAAGAGGAAGAAGGGACAGGGGAGGATGAGAACGCAAAGGTCAGTTTTGTGTTAGGTATGTCTATGTATGTCTTCTTCTTGATCAGTGTTGTTTTGTTCCCCTCGGTCTTGTGCAGCCTCTTGGTGGTACTGGTAAAGTTAGAGTACGAGGAGGGAGAGCGAGAACAACAGAACTTTCAACTTCATTGCACTTATGTTCCTTTTTCGGCTTCGTCTTGGCTCTGGTCTTGTGCAGCGTTTTGATGGTAAAGCTAGAGCAAGAGCAACACTAAAACCTCAACATATTGTCCACTTCTGCCCTTTGTGCTACTTACTCTGATGGTCTTCGGTCTTTGTACGCATATAGACAGTCCCCAGAGCTACTACTTTTGCACCTTCCATCATATAGATATAGCCATAGCTTGCTGTTTTGCAAAGCGGCGGTCTCTTTGAAGGCTTTTGAACCAGCGCAAAACACCTCAACCAAAAGTCCGTCGCTACTGTGCCACATGGTTACGGCTACGGCCTGCGGCCACCAATTTGGGGCATGGAAGTGCAGGAGTTCAGTGTGGCCATTGCCATTCTTATAGTTGGTGGAGTGGTGCTTAATTGCGGTAACTTCAGACCCTGGCCCTGGCCCACCGAATAGTGTATATATAGGTTACACAGGCTAGTAGCCAATGCCACAAAGTTTGAGGCAACAAGGGGGTCTTAATCCCTCAGATGTCTTGGGCTGCATGCGCGCGCAACACTAATCTGCTCAACAACATGCATGGCGTGAAATGAACACTTTGTGTCGAGGTCTCCTCCCCGACACAACGACCCCAGGCGGCACACGTGCGAGTGTGGGACTGCGAGCAAACTTCACCAAACACGGCCCCTCACGCTGGTGTTTTCACAGCCCAAAAGTGGGGCACATGGCAGCATTGACAGAGGGACCAGGCGATTGAGCCCCAGGCCAACTTGGGCCACACGTCTCCCGAAACAAGCACGTGACGGTTCCAGCGCTCACCGGAGTCCCTCTCAGGAACACGCCGGCCTCAAGGGAACGAGTCGTTATGAGCCGTTCGGACCGAGGTCCGGAGAGGTACTCAGGTACCCCACGGCGATGTCGCCAGAAAACCGAGGAATTCTGTAACGGGGCATGTGATGAACCCAGGCAGCGAAGAACAATGAAACTGCTGCCCCCAATCATGTCCATGTTCTAGCTGCTTCTAGCTGTCAGCCACACCAATGGGTCACAAACGGTGGCCTGTTTGGCACCAATGTGTAGTTTTGCGCATGTATAGAGACTCCCAGAGTGCTGTGACATGGCGATATACTAATGCATGGTTTTTTGATGATGCCCCTAGCTAATTTCGATGTTACGATGTAGTATCCACGGTAGGCTGGTTTACCTGGTCAATTTTTCTTGGTCCCCAGGGTTGTGATGGGTTGTGACCCTCAGCCACATATAGATATAGATATAGGTTGGTAGTAGGTCCCGGAGCTTAGTCATCAGCACCTCGCTGTGCACTCGAGGTGCTTTTCACCTTGCGTGCGAACGCACGGCAGTTGGAGAAGTCCTTAGCCTACAGGAAGGAGGTTCGTGTGCCCTTGGTGGCAAAAGAAACGTTACGTCAATTTTGTGCTTTTGGTGGAACCATTGTGAGTTGAAAATCAACTTCCAACCATCCACAACTTTCTGGTTGTTTAAGTTGGCATACTATTAGTGAAAATATGTTGTTTTAAAGGAAATGTCAGTTTGAGGGAGGCCCAATGATCCTGCAGCGGATGGATATGGATGGATCCAGGCGAAATGGACGGCATCGCCCGGAAGTCCCTAAAGTTCATTCAGTTGACTGACTGTTTGTCACTACTTGATCTTAATTTTTCCCTGTGAATCATCGTTCTTCAGGAATTTCCACTGGCCCAAGAACCCAGGAGCCAAAACCTGGCCTCAAAGAAACGTAGGTTGACCTCTTTGGCCCTAGTTCGTTTTGAAGATTGTTGGTCCTGCGGGTTTGACACCAGATTCTCTCGATTGTGCTGGGCGCTGGGACAGGTGCAGGCGATTTCTGCATCCATTTCCACGTTGGAGGCTCGCTTGGGAAGAACAATTGCGGACAGGTGCTCTTTGGTCTCTCAAACGTGACACCGGAGCTCACACAGTGTGAACGCTTGTAATTTGTGGTCAATCTTTGGGGTTTGGAGCATGGTCAACGGGAAAAGGTCAATCTTTGGAAAGGAATTTGTCAAGTTCTCACACTTTGGAGAGCTACCACTAGTAGGGTGTGATGCCCGAACACTTCCAGTTTTTTGTTCAATAGTTTGAATTGTTGCAATATTCTTGGAGACAGTGTTTCTGAAGAGGCAAGTGACTCGTACAGGCTTGACTCTCGGCACCACTCGTTGACATTTCAAGACTGAAGGACTCAGCATTCCTCGGGATTTGGTGTTCATCTCCGATTGTTTTTGAGAGGTTTTGAATGGTCAAAAAGTTGTGTTCCATCACTCGAAGAAACGGTTTCTAGGGTAGACGTTTTGAGATACGAGCGGATACGAGATCCGCATGAAGACCGCCAACAGAGAACATCAACCTAGCCAATCAGTGGCTCTCTGGTTGGCGGATTGGCTCGCCTACCAACGGCCTGAATGAGCGGACAAGGTTAGCAGCTCAGGGGGTCAGCATCGGGTCAGGTAGCATTCTTTCGTTATATGCCTTGGGGCCGAGCCGCACCGAGCCGCCCTCGCCTGTGGAGGTGTTTCAATTTCCGCTGTGCCTGGTGAACGTCCGGGACTTTCTGACGTTGCACGGCGGGGACAGCGCCGGGCAGCGCCAGGCTGTGTGGATCTCCCGGTTGAGTTGTTGATTTATCATCTCAGGCCATGCGCCAGGGGTTTGATACGTGGAATATGTTGGAACACAAAATCAAATATACACATAATATCTTGGTTTGTGCTAGTACCTGTAACAGTCGGTAAACAATGATCACGTTTTTTGAACAAGGCCTTTACATGCCTTTACTCACCATAATAGGCCGGCCCAACTAAACCAGCCACGTTTGCATGCGGGATTTTGAACCCGAGGATTCTGAGGCGCTGTATGGTTGCGTGGAGTAAATGGACTTGGAAGAAGGAGGCACTAGATTGAGAGCACCTCTCCGGTTCAAACCTCATCATAGAGCTTGTGACAGGCCAAAATGAGGTCCTTCGCTGGGCCCATCTAGTCATGGATTGAGATTCATGGCTGATGGTTTGGGATGCTCAACAACTAAATGTTTGTTCTGTTTGCGTTAGTACCAACGTACCAACGTTCTGTGAAGTAGACACCTTGCCTCCATCGCGACGCCGCTTGCCTTCTCCTTCGCGACGTCGCTTGCTCGGAGCCGAAGCGCCGCTCGGAGGGCGCCGCTCCGATCCGTCGGAACGGAACCGACGGTCGACCGGTGTTGGGTAGGTGGAGCGACGGTCGCGACGGTCGACGGTGAGTGGCGAATGTTCGGAATGGAACTGAGGTTTGGCCACTTGGTACCCTTCGAAGCCTGCCGCGAGCAGCTCCGCTCCCTGGACAGCTGTGAACAAGCCCAGCAGCTGCAAAGGCCCAGCAGTGAGCGTGGGACATGTGTGGCGGGTGTAAGGCCCCTGAGGTCAGTGGTATTCAGTGATTTGTTTCATGATTTCAGATGATTTCGGTTGGGAAAAGCCATTCTGTCTTGATCAGTGACCCTTCATGCCTGACCCTTCATCCTTCCAGTTCGGAGGGGAGCCTGCATCGCAGATCAGATGGCTCCTCGAGTGGGACATCGAAATCGATGGGCCTCGGCTCGTCGGTTCGTCGGGTGCTTCGACCCCACGGTCAACGGTTGGTCGTATGATTGAGGTATGTCTCGCAGAACAGAGAAAGAAGGCCCTTTCGATCGAACGGCACTCGGCGACAGGCCACAAGTTTTCGAGGCCACAGGTGCCACAGGGCCACCTTTCTGTCAGGATACTTTGGATATGACTCGACTTCATGTTCTGATGTCCTTCTTCTGCTTATATAAGCCTCACTGATTTCGCCATGGTTCACCCGGAAAGGGCACACGGTGTTTTTTGCCACTTTCTCGTCGGATTCAGTGGGCGCGTGTGCCTCAGGCAAGAAGGTGTAGTGTTCATCAGCCACCAATGGGCTGCCTGGCAAGACTTCATCATCTGGATGAAACTCCTGAGAGAGAGCCAGAGAGGGAGAGAGAGAGAGCGAGAGTTGATCCGGATGGTATTGAGAACGGTTGATTGTAATTAACGAGAACTGAGTTGTTGATGGGTGATGGAGGCAGTGCATAGAAAGTATTTCCATATTATGCAGGGAATATCTACTGCAGTAGCGTTCCCTGGTTGCGTGACTTTGATGTCAGTCGCTGCAGGCCACATGCACGAAGACTTGCTGTAACACACTGACTTCAAACATCTTCCAAGACTTGGCTGGCCCATGAAATACCACTTGGCTGGCGCGTGCTGGCGTCAAAGACTAGCTGGTACATGTGGGCCACATGGGTCGGCACTGCGCGACAGGTGAGCTTTGGGAGACCCGACCCTGTGGGAGTTCAGTACCATGCGATGGTCACAGCTATTCAGCAGCTGCAGCAGAAGGGACTTCAGTGCAATTGGCTTTGGGTTGACACCTGCAACGGCAATTGGCTGACGTGAGGGATGGTCCAATGGCCAATAGTAGATGAGCCCAAAAACAGGTTCCTGTTTGGAGGGTGGAATAGTTGCTTTTGACCATCCTTCACACCTTGATCAAACAAATGGGGCCAAGCCTTTGTGGCGGATGGATACGGATAGGAACTCGGGTCAGGTCTCAAGAGCACCTAAAGAGGCAGGAACGTGGTTCATCACCAGCATGTTGAGCCGGCAAAACAGTGGCATTCCAAGTACCTAAGTACCTGATCCGGCTCTCAACAAAGGGTTGTTTGTTGGTGAGTTGTAGGCACCCTAACCAGTTGGAGTCCTGCAAGAGGCCTTGAGAGTGTCAATCATTTCCTGGTTCTCGAACCACCAGGAATTCAACGAGCTAAGCTCCAATGGGTGATGATGTTTATGCGTAAATCTTGGTAACTTTATGCTGGGGAACTGAGAATCAAGATCAACCGGGTTGAGTGTGTCAGGTGGACGGTGCATGATGGTACGACTTCGACCATGCACCGCACCAAAGAAGCGTTCACAACGTGAAAGATGTTTTTCATGGGCTTGAGATCCCCGCTCAATGGGCCTTTGATCCCCGCTCAACAACATATACATACAACGTGTCCAAGTCTGTAGATACACGCTCTCAGCCAACGTCGTGGAGCCAAGGACTATTGTTGCGTTCCCCAGCAGAACCGGATCCAGCAACAGAGTGCTGTGAACTCCATCAGCGCGTACACACGGTGTTGCAGCATGTTCCTGTCAGTGGCACCTTTGTGCTACCACACAGACACAGGTGCGGATGGTGCGGCAGTCTGACCCCAGAATGGATTGATGAGTGTGAATTGTGAATGTGGGGAATCCCATGTATGTGCAGCACATTGGACAGCATTATCATCATTGATATGCCAGATGCCAGATGAAACCGAGGAACGGAGGTTCCTTGTCACTTGCACTTCAAATGACTGTCTTCAGTCCTTTTGCAATCAAGAAGCAACACCAAGACCGCCATCCGGACATCAGCGTCACCTGCGACGCTGGCAGAACTTGTTTTCGGTTCGACATGGATCTGCCACGCAACGGCGTGCCCCGCCGACTACGGCCATCCGCAGGTGTTTTGATGGATGAGTCCAGCTACGGCCATCGGAGCTGGTGTCGCTTGGAACGGCTGTGCTACGTCACGTGTCGCCCCTTTACAGAGTGCAAGTGGCCTGGCACAAAGGTCAACTCGAAGGCTCCAGCACATACTCTTGCCAAACAAATAGAAGAAACAAACATGATAAATAACATGAAATAACTAGCATTTGTTTCTTTTACATCTTACTACTTTGAACTATTATGTTGTGTGTATGATTTCAACTCGAAGGCTCTGCACATACACGCCAAGTCTCTCTTTTCAGGGATCGAGACGGGGGATCGGAAGGATCTTCATCCACCATGATGTCGAATGCATTGTGTATTTGAAGGGCTCGTGTGAGGGACGAATCATTGGCACCTTTTTTCGCACCACGTTCTGCTCAGATCGGTCGGCGCTGGAGATCGGTCCACTCGATCGCACCGAAGGCTTTGGCGCTACACCGACCACCTCCAGGAGGACCGCCGGAGCGAGCGGCGCGGGACCGCGGTGCGTGTGGAGTGTTTTTGGATCGACGCGGATCGATGCGTGGAGTGCGTCGAGCCGTGCTGCAGGGGCCGCACGTGCTGCAGAAGCCAAACACGGAGGATTTGACACGGTTTGTTCTTGGTAGGGTCTTCCTTTTGATTCCTTTTGGCCAGAGATTGCCAGCCATGGTTGACAGGAGAGGCCGGGTGACTGTGACTGGGATGACCTTGAAGTGATGACTGGTGTTACCGCGTGCTGCGAGATGCTTGCTGCAACTGGCATACCAGCTGGGTTCAGTTTCCAATGGTGGGAACCAATCCCTATAGTCAGGAATGTCAGGGTAGACTGTTGCCACAGGCTGTTTTCATCTAGATGTTAGATCTCAATATCTCAACAATTCTAAAGCAACTAAAAGACACTCTCAGCCGCTCTAAACCACACTAAAGCGCTCACCCGCACTAGCCGCACTAGACTTGTTATCTATACAAACCATTCTAAGTCAAATGCCTCGGAAAAAGGATCTCTGAATTTTTAGAGCAGATCTGCCGAAGTCGTTTGGGAGCCCAAAGTAGCATCAGTGGAATCTGCTGATTTTGTGTTGCTTCATAACTTTGAATGTTTGAAGAGAACCGCCGGTTATTCTGAATACCACTTCCAGTGAGCACTTCACAATGATAATTTCTTAGAGTGGTTTGGAGAAGTTTAGAGAGACACTCTATGACTTCAAAGGATGCCTGCAAGGGGGGTTTGTGGCTCCAGTTTGCTTGGGGGTCCCATTGTGTTGGATATCTTCTTTGCTACCAAGACAGCTTGACAAAGTCCTTTCAGAGAGCTTCCCTCCAGCAGACTGGGGCCACAGACCCCCCTCCTGCCAACTCTAAACTTTTTTAAAGTCAAGTGCTTATATAAGTCTAGACAAGTTTAGAGAGGTTCTAGAGTGTTCAAATGTAAAAGGCAGTTTTTGCGATTGGACCCGCTTAAGTGGGCGCGTGCTGACTTATGAACATGTTCTTTTAAATGATCACGGATCATTCTCATGGTGTAACGCTACACGCTTTTCCTATAGAGATTGTTCCCTCTAAAATGTGTTTGAGGGTTTTTAGAGTGGTGCAGATGAATGGGATCGGTGGGAGAAAAGGCAACAACAATGTCTGGGAGTGCAGCATGCCGTTGTGTTATTCTAAGAAATTGGGTATGCAAAAAACCATGCGCCGCCGCCTGTGTATATAAGTTGTCAAGATAATTAGAATTGGCATCAAGTATGTATCTAGGACAGTATCTAGGACTATAGAGCACCCATCCAATTGATTTGTTTTTCGTTGCTGTATACTGTATACGTATCTAAAATCTGGCTGGGCACCAACTCCATGCTTCGTGTTGTGTGGGTTATCCTGACTAGAAGATCATGATTTCTTATCATCGCGATGGAACACCTTCACAGTTGTTGCCATTGATAGGCCATAGGCTGTCCACAAGCCTGTCACATCGAACAGATATGAAAAGCGATCCTCGTTTTTGAGTCCCTTTTCTGGATTTCCACTGTCTAAAACTTTGGCATCCTGCATGGGGGTCCCCCGACACACATCGGGCAGAAAACGAAAGGATGTGTGGCGAATCACGCCGGTTCCAGCCGGCTCATGTGTTTGAGGAACGACCATCCTGGTGAATTGTGTGACAAGCAGAGGATGATGGGAGTCTTGGACAGCGGACGGTGGCGACAGACGACCGGTCCTCGAACGTCGTTCGCATTCGACGCACTGAAAGGAATGCGACGTTCGTCACAGCTTAGAGGCGAAGACCGTACCCCGAGGACACCTACTGATCGGGAAGACCAGGAGCAAGACACACCGAACGTCCCTTCTACTTGATGTTTGATGCTATTCAAACGCTCTTCGGATAGGATAGGTGCTATTTTTAGGTGGTCGAGGTCCGTTTACTTGAGACCCTGTTGTTAGAGCACACAACCACAAACAGTGGCTATTTGGCTGGCTCTAATCGGCTTTAAACAGCTTCAGACCGCCTTCCTTACACTGTTAAAGGTAAGGTTCAACGAACATGTTTGAGTCCAAACTGTACTGTATTGTGTGTGTGCCAGTTGAGGTTTGATGCTGGGGATCTATTGGCGCTTGCTGAGTCTGCGCGATGACCCTTTGCATGGCGGTGAGGCCAAGGAGCTGCTCAGGCTTATCCATGTGCCTTGACTTAAAAGATGAAACAAGCTGGTTGAAAATGGATGAACCCCGTTTTCAAACGGTTAGCTGTTGAGCTGTGGAACTAACATGAACTCAAACAAAAAGCATCCCTTGGACCGGTCAAGATTGCTCTGAGCTGGAAAGATGGAGGAGGAATTGGAGACTGGTGGGTCACAGCAAAACCGTGTTAGGTGTCTCCATGGGTGAATTCAATGAAGCTACGCAAGCGCCACGCGTGTGGCGATCAATCAGCACCTGTTAGTTCTCTTCGCGGCCGGGACCGGGCCAGAATGGGGGCGGCTCGGATTCTCCGAGGTCGTCGTTCCGAGGTCTTCGTTGCTAACGTGTTGCTGGTCACCATAAAGCTCCTCAGACCTTTGACATCGAATGTTCGTCCGGAAGTTCACCGGCTGAGGCCAATGAAGAGAAGTACTTTCCTTCGACCATTCAATTGGGTGACGATGAGATTCAGCTCTTCGAAGGCGGGACTGACCTGGTTGGTGAATATGCCGTAGATGTGGTAGTGATGCTCTCGAAGTTGGAGGTTGCCAAGGGTGTTGGTGGAACCTGTACCGATTACCTCAGTGCTAAGCAGACAGTGCAGGAGTGAATGGAGCATAACTTGGTGTCCAGCAAACTCCTGCTTGTTCATGCAAGACACTTGTGCAACATCTAGTAAGTATACAGTATACATCGATGTGTCGATTGAAATCAACAGACATATAATGACATACATATATAGACATTGAAACCCAAAGAAGATCCTGCCACCCGATTGTCATGGTTCCTACTTCTCAATCAGATGAGTCAGTCCTGAGGATTTCTACCGGTCTTGCGAGAGCTCTTTGAAGATGAGAGATACGAAGAGGTGAAATCCCAAGGCCCTCCCTCAGCGCGCGTCCGTGACCTGGATGGGGGCGAGCCTCGTGGACCGAGTGGTCGTTGGGCGGAGAGACCGAGCAAGTGGTAGTTGTCGGCTGGAACAACTCCACTGCTAGTGCTGGTAGAATTAAACAGTAAAAAAATACTATATATAGTAGATCAATGGTTCCACAGCCAGTGTAGACATCCTCGTGATGGTTGAGACCTGTGTTAGAACGCCCAAAACATACAGAATGCTACGAAGGCCAGTGATTTACGACCGTTTTGATATTTTGGGCCCAAAGAAATGCGACCTGGGCAATATAGGTGGTGGTGTTCTTTATTGCTTTACGAACTGTGGGGTTTTTAGATGGACCCAGAGACAATGGGCATCCCTAGATCTCACGTGGTGATTTCCGCAACAATCGAAGATTCCTGCCCACGAAGGCCTCAAGAATTCCTGCAGCCTGGCACCAGTGAAGGACCAAGGTGCACTGACCACCGCAGCGACTGACACGTGGACGTGTGTCAAGCATGTCAGTGAGTTCCGACATGCGAAGACCAGTCTTGAATGGAGAAGGATACAGGATACCACCTTGGAAGTCTACATGACTCATTTTGCCTTCTGGGTGAGTATGAGTGCCGGATTTCGAGGACCAGCAGGGAGTTGTTTTGAAAGACATGCGGAAGAACATGAAACATGTACTGTATAGTTTATGTATTGTATAACACTATGATCTAACTATATATGTTTTTACATATCTATTGTCCTTGAAAACTTATTGACCCCTCATTCGATCCCACTCTCACACCAGAACATGCTTGACGCCACGTTGAAGAAACCCTGGAGAAAAAGGGTTCATCCTTCATCAACCCCACTCTTGGCCCCAAGTCCAAGGGCCCAATTTGTGTCAGCCCAAAAGAAAAACCTGCGCTTGGTTGCTTGTTTTTTTAAATGTTTTTTTTGTTTTTTCACAACTCAAAGGAGTGGTTGTTGAAGAACTTGTTGAAGAACTTGTTGAAGAACATTCCTCCTTCGGCTACTGGGAGACGTGTTTTCAGGTCACGGCCGCCACCCCGGCCGTTTCGGCCACGCGTTTCAGGGGCCACCACCTCACGTGCTTTGGCTTGGGCGACAAGTGCGAGCACCAGCGCTGCGCTGTTCAAGCATCGAACTAATTCAGGGCTTTTCTCAATGTGAAGCACTATATAGGGCCCTGGGCAGATATGAGGAATAGAATGTGGCTAGGGCTGCAGGGCTGCACGGCAGGTGGACTGGCCGAAGAGAGCAACTAACTTTTGCATGAATTACTGTTGCATGTTTGACTACAGTTTCCCCCTCGACGAGTATTGGGAATGGTGGATTTGTTTAGAATAGAGATGAAAGTAGATTAGCATTGGAGAGGAATATTTTCTGGAAGGTGGAGACAAGCAAATTATTGGGGAGGATAGTGTAAGTCAGTATTGGATTGGAGCAAGGAAGGTATCAACAGGGGAAGTCTTTTCAAGAATGAGGATTGGACTGGAAAAGGAATCAAGCATAGGAGCTGAAGGATTTTTGGAGTTCAGGTCAAAAGTCGTTCATCATCCGTGAAATCCCTTCCACCTGTCTTTCAATCACGCCAAGAGAACGCCGTTTCATCGGTACGATGGGTCCTTCTCTCCCGTACGTGGGGACCCGCAAAGGTGGACACCCCGTACGATGGTCCTTCAACACCGGAAGGTCGCTTAGAAAACATGTTATGGTTAGTTTATGAAACTCGTGTCAAAAAGTTGAAAAACCAACTCCAGATCAACCCTAGCCAGAGGAAGAAAGCCAGACTCAGAGAATCCAAAAAAGACAGGCGAAACGCAGAGAGGGTGGAAGAGGGTGGGGGGAGGGGTGACTAGGAACCTCATCCAAAATACTCCACCAAAACGGCCTGTGGGTGTAGTTTAGTAGTAGTTTAAGAAGGTGATGATTTAAACGTAAACTGTAGTGTCAGAGGAATTTGGGGTTTGATGGCTGGATGAGAGTATCCTCTCTCTATATATATATAGGTTGATTTGCGGCCGTTGCTAGCTTTGATCAGGGATTTCAGAAAGGATGCCCACCCCACACAAAGATGACCCTTATGTCATCTGCAGCACATGATTCATAGACTGACTCCTACTTTGTCAATGTCAAGGCGGGAATCCAAATGACCACAACTTCTGTCATTCAATCCGTGAGTTCCAAAGGATCTTCATGGACCAGCCCAGCGTTGAAACGCTTGTCTCGCGGATCTGATCGATCCTGTGGTTTATTTTAACACTCTCAGCCAAGTGGTCGAAAGGAACGTTGGCCAAGCAGCCATAAGCTGGAGATGGTTGGAGGTGGAGGTTCAGGCTCTTCTACTTGAACCATTTTGAAGCACTTGCTTGTTCCAAAGGTCTTCAGTCTTCTCCAGGGCTTTATTTCAGGATATTGTTCAATGTGGGTGCATGATTCAAGCCTCCAAAACCACTGTGGTGACAGTTGGAGTAGACCCCAGCTTGGTGAGGCACACCTGCCATTGACTCCAGAGTTGCAGTAGATAGCATCCTGAACTGAAGAGTCTATTGGCCTTGTTCCATCGACGCGGAACCAGCATATGTTGAGAGTAGAGAGGATAATCCAAGATTTACCAAGACCCTAGCAGTTTTCCTCTTCGATTGTTGCATGGTCTACGATATCAGTTGCAACATTCAGATTTGCGGGTCAGTGTGCTGGGTAACACATCCCCAAACTAGTTGCTTATCTACTATGGAGTAACAATTTGTCGAATCATATTCTGTGTGTCATGGCATGTCATTCATGACGGTACGGATTTGCGATAATGGCTAAACAAAGGGCTTTGAGGCGACAACTTGTGATGGAAAGGAAGTGTGCCCAAACCTTGGTCGTTCTTTTGACAGGAAAAACCAGGGATCATGAGATGAAGACCCCAAAAACACATATTGAATGTTGCTTATCCCAACGCGAGGGTTGAAAAAACATGTGGGAAATGCTGTATTATGTTTGGTACAAAGGAGGAAAAGGTGGAGCCAGATGCCATGCCATTGGGGATGTGAGAAAAAGGATGGACGAAGTAACTCGCACCCGATGTGTGGGAACTGGGTACTCTAACTCAAGCGACAACAGGTGTGTTGTCTTTTTGCGGGCAGTTTAGAGGCTTGACCACCCCTCATATGCTGAAAGAAGAACTTACTTGTGTTTTCGGAACATGTTTTTTTTTTTTTTTTTCGATTGCTGATGAGTGTCGATTCTCACTGCAGTAGGTGTGAGGTGATTGCCGAAGGCAAGTTCGCTGCAAATTCATTGGGTCAAGCGATGTAGCTGCAAGACTCGACTCCCCAAACAAGCAATGCGCCTGCTCCACGTTAATAAAACAGAAGCTCCGCTGTCCAGCCCTCAAGTTTGTTTGGTTTTGAAACCAAAATAAATCGGCTAGCCCTGTATGTGAAAACATCCCTTTCCAATAGTTTTCATCCTTTTTGCCTTGCCCTCTTTGAAGATTTCCCACATACGTGCACGAATGGTGTGTCGCTACTAACGTGTGTCACGTATTGTCACGTGAGGTTCTGCACCATGGCACGGTGCCTCCGGTCGGAGTCGTGCGGATCGCCACAGGGACCGCGACTGATCGGCCACAGGGATCCGTTGTCCCGGTTCGGTACGACTGGACCCGACGTGACTTGGCACCGACATGAGAGTGTCGAAGACATCACCGTACCTGAGGTTCGGTATACCCTGGATTTGTAGGGATTCATTGGATTCTGACCCACATGGCCCTTGTTCTGTGTCGGTACCAACGGTCCGTATCTGCGACCCACTGTCCATTTCACCGACCCACAAAAGAGAGAGATCTCATTGATTCAGTGCCCCAGAAAGCTCCGAGCATGAGTGAGTGACTGGTGTCACAATGCGATTCTGGACTTGTCGGGTTTATTGTGAAGGAATCACAAGGCGAAGGAAGCATAAGGAGTCTTAGTCCTCTTGGACTAGTTAACGATTTCTTGATTGCCATCGTCCCTCCTAAAACGCATTTGCTCACTGTCCAGTCTCAGACAAAAATGGAAGTTGGCGCCATGCGCGCTGGCTTGTGCTGCAGCATTGCTTGACGAGAGCATCCACGTTGGTGTCGGTGGCGTTTTGTGGACGACGATTTTCGGGCGGAACTGGGTCCTGTGGAGTCTCAATCTGATCTGCCTGACAATGACCGCGATCGTTCAAAAGTGGGAGGATTCGCACCAAGTTGAGAGTTGAGAGAGGTGATTAGGGGATGGATGATAGTGTTATAGTCAAAATGGATCCCAAGACTCAAGACACTTTGCACTTATATAATTATATAGTAGGTGATCTCACTTGTACATTTCTAGATATTTCTAGATTGTTTTGGTCAACCCAGTGGATGCAACCCAAGATGTGGCCGCTGGGCATTGTTTTCTGATGTGTGATGTGTGTGTGTGTGTTTTGGCCAACCGGTGCTTTTGGACCGTCTCCAGGTCTTCTGCAGCGATGCCAAAGCATTGGCCGATCAAAAGTGGCCTCCTCAGCCGATCGCAAAAACACAGAACACCACCTGGGAGATGGATGGATCAGGTCCCACATGGTCCCACCAGTTGCAGGTCGCCCCGTCTCCACGTCTCGAGTGTTTCAACGGACGGAACGCAGTCACGGTTGGTGGGGTTTGAATGGAGGAGCCCAGGGTGAAACAGGGTCTGAAGTGGCCGATGGCTTGGCGATTGAACCAGCTGGCTTTGATGGTCTAAGAGTCTAAGATGGTATATAAGAACCAATTGAATGATTCTTTGTGGTCTAAATACAGGTAAAAGAGGGTAAGAGGCAGATTCAGATTCAGATTGATCCAGATTGCCTTGAAGCTCCTTCTTCGCCCTGCACATGTCATCATGCGGACATGTCGAGGTCTCTGACATACGGAACATATCCACACCCAGGGCTGCCTGTAGCTAACACCGACCCTGCTTTTCAGAAGCATTGTTTCTTCGAGGCAAGAGGCTCGACAGGAGTTCGAGGTGCGGCCTCCCTTCGGCATGGAATCACGACTGGATCACCATTTGGAATTTTACGGGAAACGGATGGTTTGGCTGAAATTGTGTGGAGATACATGGCATGGCAAAGCTGAACAAATTGAGTCGTCGCCATGTCAGGATCGCACTGTTGACTTCTATGTACGAAGCCTGGTTGCCGGCCAACTCATTACACTGGGGCATCATTGGATGTTGTTCCTCAATGGTAGGACCCATCAAGGTTGTATTTGTAGGGTCCTTTTGGGTCCTCCCTGGGTCCCTTGTTAGCCACACTCATGCTGGCTGTATGGCTTGAACAAGTCACCTGTTCCTCAAGACATAGAAAAGAACGTCCTCAAAGTTTAGTGTGTTTTTTCTTAAAAAGCAGGGGCCAGCAAGACATACACTCTGACTCACCAACATGGAAGTAGACAATGGCCCCCTGGAAGACTACTTTCCGAATACGTACCAACAGGCGATCTCCACTTCCATGTTAGTGAGTCAGAGTGTAGAGACTTCTACATCTCGACTTGAGATCTGACATTTGGTTTATCAGACGCCCGGTGTGATGGAATTGTTCATGGCTCCCGGGCGCGTTTTGTCAGTTTGCGCGCCGTGCCGACACATCTGGGGGGTGGTGTTTTCACACACACATCAATCAAGATCGCAAAGAATGAGGAATCGCATGATTTGGTCCTTTTTTCTCAAAAGACCTTTATGTGTTTTTTGATGGCCTCCAAACCTACTAGCAATGGCCTCCAACCGGAAAGAATCGATACAAGTTGTTCTCCTAGTTCCTTGAGGAATGATTACAGCCGGCTCTTGCCGTGCCTTTCCGTGCCTTGCCTCTCCCCTCTTGCCAGGCGCGTTTGGCGGAGCTGTCCGGAGATGTTGAGCAACATGGCAGAGATGAAGCTTCGGACCGAGTGGTGAATGGATCAATGTCACGTATACGATGTGGATGTGGATGTTAATAGGGAGACACCCTGGCCCTGGCTGGGTAGACTGGTCTATGAGGTTGTTGCCTGGGGAGGTCTCCCTAATTGAGCTCTACAACCATGTCAAAAGGTGACTCACCGATTTGCCTCAAACTCTCTCGTGGGATCCGGCCATGTCCACCCCCTGCGACATGCGAGCTCTCTAGGCCACGACCAGAGGATCAGGACGCACGACCGAGATCTCGGTGTCTTCGTTCGTTTGATGGACTGCTAGGGCTCCTGGCCCACCTCCTGAGAAGGTGGTTGGGGTGGGTGCCATGGGGGTCTAACCACCTTCTGAGGAGATGGTTGGAGCCCTAGGGGACAATCACCTTGATCCACAATCACCTGCGTGAGAGTCACCGAAGAAGACAAAGCCCCAAAAAAGCGCGGCGTTTCAGCACTTGCATTTGGTGTGTTTTGGTGTGATTCTTTTGGAAAGGGCTTGGAAGCTGGTGGACTCTTCCTTCCCCAAGTCACAAGGCAGTTTTTAGATGCTTCCCTTTTGTGAAGGAATGTGTGATTATTCACTTTGCGTTTGGCTACACATTTTCAGAACAGGCTTCTACGGCATAATTCCACTTGGAAAAAGCTATGTTAAAATTGATACAATATATGTACATACACATGGATGTTTAAAGATTTGTGACCATGTGCGCAACTATGGTGAACGATTTGTTTACCCGTTCCACAATAGAAACATCTGTGTCATCATATCCCTGCGCATGTGTGATGTAGTCCAAACTGGTGTCGCAGAGTTCAAATTACCGAGTGAAAAAACACGTTTCAATGCTGTATTCGGGCTATTGATGATCATGACAGACTTCTTGTAGACGTTCCTTGGTAGATTTGAATCCAACTAAGGCAAAGCCCTGGAAATGGCAATGACAAGGCGACGATCGTATGCAGGGAAGTATGTTGAAGTCCAGCCAAGATAAGAAGAATGTTTAAGTTGCATTCCCAGCCATCCGGACTTTTGTATGCTATAATGCTAAGTCAGGGTGAAAGCGGTTCCCAGAGCTTTAAAACATTCATGAGCAAGGAAACACCTTCTGTCTTCCATTTGTCCATATTTGTCCCATCTCTTTTCCCGAATCACTGGGGAGGCCCCTAGTGAACGGCAAATGACCAAGGGAAGGACCTTCGGGGTCTCGCGTTTGACCAATGGTGGGGTTTCACAGGGCAAGAGCATGCTGCCCACACTAAGAATGCACCAAATCTTGCTGTGCCTTTCTTGCATTGCTCGACCACACCCAGCAATAGAAATGCTTCATCACAAAAACGCAGAGGGTGGCATTAACCAATTCATGTACAGCGGTTTCAAAGTAGATGGCACAATCCCCACTTCAGGTGGTTTATATGGACCCCGATACCGCTGTGGATGCGTTACCGCTGCGTTACCCATCAGTTCCTTGTCTTTGATGGATCCTTTTTGGCTCGAATTGATTGACCAGATCGAATGGTAGACCTGTCCAGGTGACCGATTTGATATCACCGAGATCGGGATTCCCCGTTAAGGGGCTCCCAGAACGAAAACATACTGGCTGTGGTTTCAACAAGAATCAAGCATAACGAAGCAAACGGAAGTGGACATGAGTTGAAACTTGTTGGTAGGAGATCCTAAGGTTTGGATGACAGATTCACGATCTAGCAATATGCTAAAATGCACGAAATACTATTCCGGGTGAACGAGCCACTCACCTCGAAACGTTCGGCTCACAAATACCTGGACCTTCCATATGTTGCAGGTTGGTGTCTATAGGATTCTATAGGCTTTAATATCTGCAGATTTGCAATCATCCGGTGCTTGTTGGTTTTGTCAGAGCGGATCTGCCAAGACATCCGATCTGGGCTCCTCATTCGCCATGTAACACCTGTAGGCTTCTTGCTTCGACGCTTCGCTGGGCGTTTTCTCAGGTCGTGGATCTGTGGCCCGGGCGCCTGGGTGACGGCCGTTGCGCCGTTGGTGGTAGCCTCGAAGCCTCGAGATGTGGGCAACGGCCAAGCAGGATGGGCATGCAGGATGGGGCCGCACAGCTTCACGGACTCAAAGGTTGCTGATTCCTGCTGTGTAAAGTCCAGCGACTCCTTGTAAGCGATCCCTAGCATGTGTGTTCAGGAACCTGAAGGACAGCTTAGGGCCCGACTCCTATTCGATGTGTGTTTTGCCATTACGTTCCAGTTAGTGTATGCGTGTTTTGGATTGGAAGTCACGGTTTTTCACAGTGTTTGGCCATTACTTTTATAAGTCTATACAAATTGAAAGGGAATTCTTGGGTTGCTATTCAGACATGACGAGACTCCACTGCTGTGTTCCCTGTTCATTGGAAGGGACGTTCAAGAGAACAACACATTGTTGCGTATGTTGTAGGATGCCATGATCCAGAATCATGGAGTGTATGAGGCTAGAGTACGCCAACTGGGCCGCTGAATGGTACCCAACAACTTCAGCAGAGGAGCGGAGATTGCTGGGGCATAGGCTGTTCATTCTTGTTTTCTTGAGTGTAAGGTGCTGGATGAGTGGGGTTGTTGGGAATGATTGGGACAGACCTGGGGCGCAGTGGATGGAAGGATGAAAAAACGCGTGGATGCGGCTGGTCCAATCGATGGGAACTAGAGACGAAAGTTGCTGGGAATTGGAGTGCAAGCATTGGTGCTTGCCGCTTGGGTGCAGCGAAAAAAACCATCGTCTCAGGAAGGCACCGGATGATGCTTTGATGTTTGATGATTGGTGCACCTGATATTTGAGCGAAATAAGTAATAAATACCGTTTTCCTGAGGGCAAACATACTCTGACAGTAGTTTCTTCATCAAAAGGATTCCCACTGCTTCTTGCGTAGCCCATCCATCCAGGGACTTCATGATCCACCAGCTCAGCACTGCCATTCCAGTTTAGACCAGGTAAGACAGTTTGGCTGAATGTTGTGGATGCCAGTCACAATACCAGGCAAAGATACAGCAGGTCCCACATACCGTAAGTTTGGCAAGGTCACATTCCTTCTGAAATGCTGGCATCATGGGAAATACATAACCATTTGGCCCTTGGACTCCGACCAGAAGCTAGTGGCATGACAAGGATCCAGGCTTGGCCATCTGTCGACTTTCGACTGTGATCGGCGCCGCCTGGCAAAGTGTTATCTCTCTATTTCTGTTCTACGCACTTTCCATCTGCGGTTGACAGATGCGATGGCAAGTCTTCCAACGGGCTCTCTGCAGGGCTTTCGGGTCACACCTCCGCAACCTCATTGGAACTTCGGGGGTGGCGTTTTGGCTCCGATTCACTCCGTTCAAGTCAGGGAGTGCCTTCGATGGAGCTCGGATGCCGAGCGCCGATCGATTTGGATTCGGATGCCGTTTCGCCCCAGGAGAGATCCGTGCTGGAGCGGGCCACTGACTTCTTGGCCGAAAAGCGACGGTACTCAGAAACAATCGCTTCCGCAGGCAAAAGGCGAGCAGGGAAGAGGGGATCTCACCAATCGCTTCCGAAATATGTCATGATGTCATATGTTTCGGAAAACAACTGCTGCAAATGGGGCACCCGGGCACTACTACTTTTCATATACTTCACCACGGTGCGACTGCTGGTCTCAAACAAACGGTGCGATTTTGAGGATTGGACGTGATTGCTTCAGTGAGGTGTTGCTGTCCCCCGCTGTGCCCTGAAGCCAAAGTCAAAAACTTCCCAGTATCAGATATCTGGAACATGGTTTATCATCATGATATGTTTGAGCCCCAGTTCAAGCATATCAGTTCTTTCTCTGAGAGATTGTGCAGTGAAAGCAGCTAACACAAGCCGTCACCGGCATTTGCGGTATGTGTGGGAAAAGCTCTGTGTGTGTGTGTGTGTGTCACACCCTGGTTCTAAGGGCTTTCAATTGTTCACCCCTCCACTACCAGCGTCACCGTTTCCAATTCAATTTTTCCACTCATATGACCTCATCACAGGCAGGGGGGCAGTGGACCGCTATCACTCACTGCCCAACGAAGACAGTGATAGTCCGGTCGTGAAATCCAGAAAGGACGCTTTCTGGACGTACCTGCTCAATGAACTTTTGCACACGCTGTCCACTCTTTTGGTTTGATTCATGGTGTTTCATGTGATCCTTCCCCTTAAACAGGTTTCCCACCGCACTGCAGCTGCTGAACGCCGCTTCCACTTGAGCGCTTTCGAAAACATTGTTCAACAATACTTTTTGGCTGACCCATGCACCTTTCCGTTCCCTCACCTTACTTCTCAACGTGGCAATTGAGTCTAACTGAAAACCCAAGTTCGAAGT